TCAGCTCCAGTGACAGCTATAGAAAGGTAAATAAATCCCAGGATAAAAAAAAAAAAAGAAAAAAAAGCTTCAGTCGCCCACCAGCCTGAAAAATGGCCCCTCAGCCCCTCACCCAGACTGCCAGGCACCCAGTGGGGACCCCCCACCCTGAAGGGGGTGTGACCAGCTGCAAACAGCCATCAGCCCCTCACCCAGGATGGCCAGGCACCCCAGTGGGGACCCCCACCCTGAAGGGGGTGTGACCAGCTGCAAACAGCCATCAGCCCCTCACCCAGGCTGGCCAGGCACCCAAGCGGGACCCCCACCCTGATCCGGGACACCCTTCAAGGCAAACCAGCTGGCCCCCTCCCGTGCACCAGGCCTCTATCCTATATAGTAAAAGGGTAATATGCAAACTGACCCTAACAGCAGAAAGACTGGGAATGACTGGTCACTATGACACACACTGACCACCAGGGGGCAGATACTCAATGCAGGAGCTGCCCTCTGGTGGTCAGTGCGCTCTCACAGGGGGGAGCTCTGTTCAGCCACAAGCCAGGCTGACGGCTGCCAGTACAGCAGTGGTGGTGGGAGCCTCTCCTGCCTCTTCAGCAGCGCTAAGGATGTCTGACTGCAGCTTAGGTCTGCTCCCCGCTGGCAAGTGGACATCCCCTGAGGGCTCCCGGGCTGCCAGAGGGATGTCTGATTGCCAGCTTAGGCCCAATCCCCCGGGGAGCAGGCCTAAGCCAGCAGGTGGTCATCCCCCGAGGGGTCCCAGACTGCGAGAGGGCACAGGCCGGGCTGAGGGACCTCCCCGAGTGCACAAATTTTTGTGCACCGGGCCTCTAGTATATATATAAAACCTTTGCTTCTTAGGCAAATACAGGAAAAACTTTTTCCCCCTTTACTTTAGAAATAGGCTTATTTTTCCAATGGAAAATATCCTCACATTCTTAAAAAGTATAACAGAGATAACATGATTTTGATAACTCTTAGGAGGCTGGAGAAAGGATGGGTGTGTAAATGGGGAGATAGCAGGTCCTGGGGTTTGTTCCCAGGACTACAGTCACTTCTGGGCCTCTAAGCTTTAGTGTAAAAGTATCATTTTTTTTTTCTTTACAAAGAAAGTGCTTTCCCACCCTGCTGCTGCTACTTCCACAGTCTATTCAAGGGTACTTCTGTAGCTCCAGCCCTCTAGGATAAATACTTGGAGAGTTTAAATAATTATTTTCCATATTTTTTTCTTTTTGAGTAGACTAATAATATGAAATCTTGTACCGGTGTATAAGAAGAGATCTTAAAAACAGAAACAAAAAAACAAACAAACCCTACAGTAACTAAATCAGTACTCACAAAAGGGTGGACTGGGACATTAGCCTTAGAATCTTATTACACTAACCTGGCACAGCAAAGAACATCAATCAGTAACCAAGTTACATTATGGACAGATAAGAATTTCTACTAAGAGCTTCTAATGGCTGATGTCTTGAGAGGGAGAGCAGGAAGATACCCAAGATTAAGAGTTCTTGGCAGCTGCTGGGAAGTTCCTGCAATCCCTGCCACGTGTTCAGCCTGCTACAAATAGCTGGGGCCCCTAGCAAAGTGAAAGATGGCCCACCTTTAAACAAATTAAACCAAACAACAAAGACACAAAACAACAATCAACAGAGACACTCTACATACAATATTTATAGGCGTGTATAACTTACAGACAACCAGAGTCCTTTCCATGGATCTCTCAGAAGATGTCTTATAGTGCCTGGGACTTACAGCTAGAATGCGGCCCAGAGGAATCCCAGGTGGGGTGGCCAGTGAACACCCACAAACAGCCTGTTGTTCACAGATCTCATCATATTCTGCTCTCCTTAATAGATATTGACTGGTGTCCAGAGTTGTTTTGGCTAAAATCTGCCAGTCCTAAGGAGTCATGTGATCATTTTCAGACAAGGCATTAAGGAGTCTTTTTGCAAATGGACTGTTAGCCCCATTTTCTGTAACACTTTCCCTTATTTCTTTAAAGGTATTAAAGGAAAGAGGCTCATAAACTCTATTACCTTGTTGATCTTGCATAACTGGGCAAGTCAAAAGCTCTCCTTCTAACATGGCTTGCCTGACACAGGACCCCATAACTGAGGATCTAGTTGATGAGCCTTCCCACACTGGAGGTGGAGGATCGGGAAATATTTCCTCCAGCGGTGGGGCTTTAGGTATTACAGGCTCTACAGGCTCTGCTTCAGGAGGAGGGGGTGGTGGTAAATTCTCCTGCTGCTCTGTAGGCTTTGGATCTTTAATATGAAGTGGGCAAAATGCAGCTCGAACAAGAGCCCACATAGTTAATGATGATAAGCGCACTCATTTTCCCTGGGCCTGATTTCTCTTTAAATTCCTGCCCACTTGTTCCCAGAGATTAAGGTCTAGTGTTCCAGCATTAGGGAACCAAGAATTATAAATTATAACAGTTTTTAGTAAGCTTTTTGTTTTTCTCCTGTAACAGAGTCACCACCTGCTTCTAATAACTGTTTAAGCACTGTGCTATACCGCTGTTGTTCTGTGGATAACTGTTGTCCTATTATGAAACCTTAGCTGAGAGAAAATTCCCTGAAACTAGAAATCCCAAGTGGGCTCCAATGACTTACTGCGCAGTTACTTTCATTTTCTTCCTCTTCGCTTTCAAGAGTTCCGCCACATTTCATTGCGTTCCTGGTTCCTGACATGGGGAACCACTTTCCAGGACTGACTAGCAGACCCTAAGCACACATTACTCTGACACACATTTCTGTGAAAGAGAAGGCTAAGGGGCTGTTTGGCTTTAGGAACCAAAACAACCTCGATTGCCTGCCTTCTTAGGCTTTTATTGTAACAACAGCTTGAACTAAAATTAACTTCTAGATACAATCAGCAGGGTAAGTATCCTTGAGAAAGCACATGCTTCTACAAGGTCTGGTTTAAAGACTAAAGAGAGATTCCAGCAAAAAACCCCAGGGGCTCGGACTTGTTTGGAAAAGTCAAAGCACAGGCTGCCCCTTTGGCATGGTTCCCCTAAGAGGTCCCGACCTTTTGGAGAGTCCTCCTTACAGACTTTCCAACCAAGTCCCATGCTTCCCCACAAGGTGAACTTAATAGCACACAGCGACTGGGTAGCTGTAGAGCAGGGAAGGGGGTCCGCAGTGACTCAGGTTTCTGGCTCCCAGGGTAGATAGTGATTTAACCCACCAAGATGGGAAGTCAGGAGAGAATCAGATTTGGAGAGAGAGAATGAGATACTTTGGGGCATAATGAGTTTTCCCTCTCAGCAGGCAAATGTATAAATGGATGTAAGATTTGGGGATTGCCACTTGGGCGTGGAGTGGGTATTTGACACCACAGGAATAAGTAAGGTGCCTGGACTGAGTGTGAAAGTAGAGAAGGGAAGAGAACATTCCTTTCAACCTTGAAGGCAGGTAGGACAGAGTGTGTAGGTGGGACAAGATGGAGGAGTTAGGAAAACTGGCAAGGAGGACATAGTATCCCTGAAACGGAGGGTAGCCTTAAAGAAGGGTGTGGTCAACCATGCTCATTTCTCCCTGGAAGGCCACCACCCACTGTGCACAAGGCATCCTGGGAGCAGGCAGCCGCATGCCCAGAGGGGAAGGCAAGGAGAGCAAAGTTGTGGATCTCGTCATTATTTTTAATCTCCTTGCAGATTTCGTCAGTGCTCAGCAGCATTTTCTGCCAGAGACAAAGCTGGGGACTTGGGGCCTGGGTGTAGCTCCCGCAGCCTTAATTGCTGAGTGCGAAGCTCCTGTAGAGAGCCCAGCCTTTGGAGGAGCCCAGCCATCCACCCTTCAGGAAGGGGCCGGCTCTGAGCTGCACATCACTTTGTACATTTCTTGTGATTTGGCAGCATACACCCAGGGAGCAGAAATCACTCTAGACATTGCAAAAACATTTAAAGAGGAAAAGTAAGTCTCTGCCCCTCCCCCTTTATTCTATGCTCTTCATCTTGTGTGTTGTGAGTTTAAATGAGTTTAAAGGAGAGTTTAAATGAGTTTTGAGGCCCCACTATAAGGTAAAAGATTTTTTATTTTGTAAGTTTTCTTTTTTTCATCCAGCAAGATTTAGTGTTTTTCAACTGAAGATCTCAAGTCTCCTTAGGGACACACATGAATCTATTCCTCACTCCCTGTGAACTAGGGAAGAGCAACTAGCTCTTTACTGGAGCTACTTCACGGACAGCTGGTTTTGGATAGATAGCCAGGTGCTATGAGTACATTCATGCACTTATTCATTCAGCAGATATTTATTGGCTGCCTCCTCTGTACAAAATAGTGTGTGTGAAACTATGCCCTGCCCACAGGGAATAGCCAGGTGGGGAGACAAGATGTAACTTGCGCACAGATTTAAAAACACTGTAAAGAACAAGGGCCGATGCCATTGCGTGCTAAATGAGATGCAGAAGGCACAAGTTTCTGGTGTCAGGAACCATCACTTAGATCTGTCTGATCCAGGGAGGCTGGTGGAAGACATGGGCCTCCAAGTGAGATCAATCGAGCGGCTAGAAGCACCTACCCTCTGCCACCTGCTAGGTCTCAGCCCCGCCTTCTAGAATGGAGAACTGTGCCTACCTAACAGTTGTTGAAAGCATGCAGTGAGCGTGGCTCATGTCATCCTTTCCCAGTTCCCTTAACCCCACGAGTTTACTCTCCCCCCAAACCCTGCTTTGCAGCCTGATACCCCTTCTCACATTGTGTGCCTGATGCCTTATCTGCCACCCTCACTTGTCCCCGTGTCACTTCAAAGTCCCACCTCTTGGCACATAGTAGGGATTTTGTAAATATTTGTTGAATGGGAACCTTACTGACACAGAGTGGACAGTGTGTCTGAGCTGAAGCTGGAATGTGCTTGAGTGTTCAGAGGAGAGTGAGTCAACCTATTTGGTTGGAGTAGAGGGTGTGTGTGGGAGAACAACAAAAGACAGACGGGGCCCAATTGTAGCACCAGGCTAAGAATCGGGACTTTGTCCTGCTGGTTAGAACAGGGATCTGACTGACAGGGACATGTGGGAGGAGCATCAACCTGTGTCACTCTGTAGGATGATAGGGCAGGGCAAGGGGAGAGGAGGAGAGAGCAATTAGCTCTGTTGCAATCATTGGGGTGAGACTTGATGATGCTGGCTATTCCCAGAGTGGGAACATAAAGGCAAAGATAGAGTTAAAAAAAAATGGGTCTATAATTCCATTTAAGAGCACTTTAGCCACTAATAGGGCAGTGACATTTATAATTCAAAAATCCAAACACATTTCATTCACTGATCTAAAACTCTGATCTTTCACTTCTAAGGATGCCTCTTGAAAATAAGGCCTGTTCTCCACACTTGGAGGGAGTTCCCTCTGGAGCCTGGCTGGATGGAGATGGCAGCGGGAGAATCTGAGCTCTTATCTTTCGTGTTTACTCTGACTTTCGGGAAACTCCAGGCAAAAGGTTTCTCTGGGGGGAGTGTGTGCCTGTGTGACTTTCCTCCTGCTTCTCCACATCTTACCTGGAGCCGAACACTGCCCTCCTGATGCTGCTGATCCTAATCTCTGTTCAGAGAGGGTCTGGGGCTCAGTAAACCTGGGCTTGAAAAATACCACAGCTTCAGACTTCTGGGAGAAGGCAGGCAGGATGGGTTCCAACAAAGCCCTTGGCCCGCAGGCAAAGAGCTAATGGCAAAAAATGACTATTCAAAGAAAGCTCGGGTGTGTCAGCTTTTAAATGTTTTCCAGGATGAATTAATTTGGCAATGATGATTATACATGTTGGCAAAAAGGGGGAATAAAAAATGCACAGTAAAGAAGCAAGGTGTGCAGAGGGAGGAGGGAACAAGTGGGAATGCAGAGGGTGGGGGTCGCTGAGTGTACATCAGACAGAGAAGAGAGGAAAAGACGAGAAGAAACAAGGAAGGTGGGTGAGAAGTGCATGGGATGGAAAAGGAAAATTTGACTTAAATGAAATTTGACTTTTCATAGTGGCCCAGAATGTGTTTTAAATGTTTTCGAAAATGTGTACAGATAATATCTATTCTGTGCAGTACATGCTGCCCAATTCTTGTTGTATTAGGAAATCTTGAAATCGATGTGTAGAAGAGAGGAAAAGACGAGAAGAAACAAGGAAGGTGGGTGAGAAGTGCATGGGATGGAAAAGGAAAATTTGACTTAAATGAAAATTTGACTTTTTCATAGTTGGCCCAGAATGTGTTTTAAATGTTTTCGAAAATGTGTACAGATAATATCTATTCTGTGGCAGTACATGCTGCCCAATTCTTGTTGTATTAGGAAATCTTGAAATCGATGTGTATCAAAATTTTGCATTTCTTTTTTTAAAACTCTTTATTATTGAAAGTATTACATATGTCTCCTCCCCGCTCCCGTTGTCCTCTCCCAGCCTGTCCCGGCCCCCCAACTCCAGCCTTCATCCCCCTCCCCAATTGTCTGTGTCCTTGGTTATGCCTGCATGCATACAAGTTCTTTGGTTGATCTCTTCCTCCCAAGTCTCCCCTCTGCCCACCCTCCCCTACCTTCCCTCTGAGGTTTGAGGGTCTGTTCAATGCTTCTATGTCTCTGGATCCATTTTTGTTCATCAGTTTATGTTGTTCATTATATTCCACAAATGAGTGAGATCATGTGGTATTTATCCTTCTCTGACTGGCTTATTTCACTTAGCATAATGCTCTCCAGTTCCATCCATGCTGTTGCAAATGGTAAAAGTTCCTTCTTTTTTACAGCAGCATAGTATTCCATTGTGTAGATGTACCACAGTTTTCTAATCCACTCATCTGCTGATGGGCACTTAGGCTGTTTCCAAATCTTAGATATTGTAAATTGTGCTTCGATGAACATAGGGATGCATATGTTCTTTCTGATTGGTGTTTCTAGTTTCTTGGGATTACTGGATCAAATTTTTTATTTCTTTTTTAAAAATATATATTTTTATTGATTTTAGAGAGGAAGGGAGAGGGGAGAAGGAGAAAGAGATGAAACATCAATGATGAGAGAGAATCATCGATTGGCTGCCTCTTGCACGCCCTACACTGGGGATTGAGCCTGCAACCCGGGCACATGCCCTGACCAGGAACCAAACCATGACCTCTTGGGTCATAGGTTGACTCCCTACCACCGAGCCATGCCAGACAGGCTGTTTTTTTAAATTTCTTTTTTCATTTATCGAATTTATCCAGGTGACATTGGTTAGTAAAATTATATAGGTTTCAGTTGTACAATTCTATACTGCATCATCTGTATACTGTATTGTGTGTTCACCAATCTAAGTTAAACCTCCTTCCAAATTTCACGTTTCTGCAGCATTAAGAATAGCCAAAGAGTGGAAACAACCCAACTGTATGTCAACTGACAAGATGGGTATATCCATGCCATGAAAGATTTTTTTAGCCATAAAAAGAAATGAAGTTCTGACACATGATACAACATGGATGACCCTTGAGAATATTATGCCAAGTGAAAGAAGCCAGTTGCAAAAAATCACATTGTATGACATATCTAACGTTGGCAAATTCATAGAGATAAAAAATGAATGGTTACCAGGGACTAGTGGGAAGTGACTACTAAGATCCATGGGGGTTCCCTTTGAGTGATGAAATATTCTAGAATTAGACAGTGGTGATGATTATACAACTTTCTGTACAGACTAAAAACCACCAAATTATACACTTTAAAATGATGAATTTTGACATCTGATTTATATCTCAATTTTAAAAATATGAAAAGAGCCAAAACCGGTTTGGCTCGGTGGATAGAGTGTCGGCCTGCGGACTGAAGGGTCCCATGTTTGATTCTGGTCAAGGGCATGTACCTTGGTTGTGGGCATATCCCCAGTGGGAGATGTGCAGGAGGCGGCTGATCGATGTTTCTCTCTCATCAATGTTTCTGATTCTCTGTCTCTCTCCCTTCCTCTCTGTAAAAAATCAATAAAATATATTTTAAAAAAATTAAAAAATATGAAAAGAATCTTGCATTTCCATGATTTCACTTCTTAACTTCGAGCATACTGATTTTGTTTTGTTTTGTATCTAAACTTTCCCTTTACCTCTGTCCCCAGAATTAACATTTTAGTCACATGTTTCAAAATTCAAAAGCTATAAACAGATATAAAGTAAAAGTCTTTCTCTCACACCCCTGTATCTCCCACTACCCAGATCCCTTCTCCAAAAGTAAGCAATATTACCAGTTGTTTGTGTGACTTCCACAGATTTTGTGTATACAAGCAAGTATATGTAAATATTCTTGCCCCTCCCCCTTTTAAACAAATGGAGACATTCACACAGCCCTGAGCCTTGCTTATTTCACTAGACAAAATACCTGGTTGAAATCTTTCCCACACCAGTACATAAAGACCTCTGCCATTCTTCTATCTTGGGCATAATATCACATGTCATTTAACTAGGCCACTATTGATGGACATTTGGATCTTCTCAATCCTTTGAAATTTTAATGAATTATTTACTTCATATGTGCTGTCAAATGTCAGGGCCCCAGACAGGTCAACCCAAAATGTCCCACAATGGCATGTTGATTACTTTGAATTACAGTTACTTGACCAGTGGGTGGTGTCTCCTTGGATGCAGGAAATAAATCTCTCAGGTAAAAGGAGTCCTCCGGCACTTGGAAGACACCCCTTATCACAGAGTTAAACAACTCACAGCCATAGAGTCTGTTTAATCAAATCTTACTGCCTCTTTTCTTATTTACTACATTGTTTAAACTCCTCATTAATTGATACCCAAACCTTACTTAGATTCCTTTCTAAAGAGCACTAATTTTTTTTCTGTCAAATTTTCACAAATGTATTGGTGCTTTAAAAAAATTGATTTGTTTTAGAGAGAGTCGAAGGAAGAGGGATAGAGAGATAGAAACACTGATGAGAGAGAAACATTGATTGACTGCCTCTGCGTGCCCCCTACTGGGGA